AGCTTGTTTGTCGTCGTGTCAGACGCCCCCGAGTCTTCTTGCACCTCCTCCTTCTTCAGCCCGCCGAACAGCCAGGCGGTCAGCCCCTTCTTCTTGGGCTGCTCGACCTCGGCGGCGGCGGACAGGTTGCTCTCCGTCATGGACTCGCCCGGCCAAACGCTCCTGGGCGTCTCGGATGTTTCTGCTGTTGTCCCGTTGCGCCCGACTGGGGGCGCGGCGGTCTGGGGTGCCGAGAGCAGGGAGGGCAGGGAGGACCCGGTCACCTTGGCCTTCTCGGTGGCCTCCTCGACGAGCGAGATCTGCTCCTCGGTGGCGGTCCCGTTGATGTAGGCTAGGCGCGCGGCTTCTAGACTGTCGGTGCGCAGTTGCTTCTGCATCGCGAAGAACTCGTTGCGCCGCTTGCGGTTGTGAATCATCATGTCGCCCGTGGCGTAGACCGTGACGAAGAGGGCAAGGCCTGAGTTGACCGAAGGAAAAAGGAAACGCTGTCAGTGGATTGATTGGTTTGATTTTGGGGTGGGCAGATGCATATGTATATATATATATATATATCCATATGGGGGGAACAGGACATACCGCTAAAGCCTATCAGCCCCATGACGGTCACCTTGTGGGCAGCATCGAAGAATCTCCTGGACTGGGAGACAACACGATCGAACCTCGAGATGTCGGCTTTTCGGGCGGCGAGATGGGCGCTCCGCAACCTCCGTACGCGCTCTTCGAGTGTCTCTTGCTGAGGCGAGGGCGGCATGCCTGGGCGGCGCGGGGGCTGCTGTGTCTGCTGATGCGGCGGTGAGGAACTGGGAGTGGAGCTTGACGAGGTCGCGGACGAGGACGGGGACGGGGAGGACTTGGTGGCCGCGTGTGGTGTATTGGTGGTGAATCTGGTGGCGTCGGTGACAGACCGCGGAGTGCCGGAAACTGCCATGATGATGGTATTCGTGTCTATCTTCTTGTAAATAGCTCGAGTCAAATCAGAGTCCAATCGGGTCGTGAGGTGACGCTGAATGTTCAATCGTATAACTACCCATGTAGGTAAGTCTCTTTTCCGGGGGAGTCGACTGGATGGGAGGTGGGAAAGCTCGGGGGTAGCTGGAGCTTTGATGTCAGGAGATAAAAGATAAATTTTTTGGAGTTTCGCCGTCGTCCAATTGCCTGAGCTCGAATTACGCGCTAAATACCAGGGTGCTCCTTACTCTCTACAGTATGTAGACTAATTAGGACTGCCCCAACTGCCCAGGTGGCTGACTGGTGGGTCTCGCAGTGAAGAGAATGGCCTGATTTGTTACTACCATCAGCTCGGCTCGGCTCTTCCCTTAACGGCTTCAACCACAACACGGTCCATCCATCCATCCGTCCATCCAGCCATCCATGAATATGCTTCTTGATACACATTTACTTCTTTCACTTCATGGCTCGAGCAACTGAGGAAATATGTGCAAAAACTACAATTTCAGACTCTTGAAGGAGCCGGCTACGATTCAGCTCCCATGATCTGCCTGCCGCCATATTTATTAATATTATACCAGGAGGATTGAGGGTGATCAGAGTACAGTCGTGGATTAGGAGGATCGGGACTCATTTTAGTCAACTGGCAATGAGCCGCATTCGTCTATTTCTATTTATCAGTAACCCCTGAACAACTCGTTCACCTTCATGTCGTCTTCCACCCCTCCGTGGTGAAATTACCTCCTATACTCTCCAAGGCGGACATGTTGCTCCAGCTTAGATCATCGGTAATCTCCCAGGCTGCGTACATCAAGTCCCTATCCTCCCCGAGCACAAAGAGCCCTATCCGAGAAGGCTGAGAACCATGCTGGACTATCAACGGCGCACTATTCGCCCACATCCCCAGGTCGTCCCACGCCGGAGCCCATGACGACCCCTTTAATGACCTATGTTTGAGTCTATCATCTGATCCCACCGCGACCACGTCAATCCTGTCTTGATTCGTCGCCACCACCGACGGTATGCTCAGGAACTTGCCCCCGAGGCTCTGAAGCGGCGAGTATTGCCCACTGCTCCACGCGAACCAGTATAGGTCCCCGTCCTCTCCCAATCCGAAAAAGTCGACCCTCGCGTTAGACATGGCCACCGCCACCGGATCCCCTTGGAAAGCACCGCCCCGGTCGTCCCATCCGCTCCATAGCTTCTCTCCGCTAAAGTAGTTGTGCTGCACGCTTCTCTGGTTTTCGTCGTATATAAATAGGTTGTGATACGTGGCACTGTCGCGACAGACCGCCGCCGGTGACGACCAGCTATTTCCCCCCGCCCCCAGCTCCCATGCCGCGTCCTCGTCTGAGTACACACCTCGATCTCGGGCATAGAAGTCGTGGATGAGGTTATTGCTCCCGTTGGCGTTCCGAACCCATACATCGGGCCTATCAATCCCGTCCGTGTCGACGTGGCAGGCCCCGATCGCCGAACTGCCTACGTTTCTCATAGGATTCCATTGGCCGCCCCATGAACCATTTTGGAATTCCTTCCGCGTTACCGTCCCAGATTCTTCGAGTCCGAAGACCGTAATTCGCGTATTGTCGTTCCACGCCACTGCTGCTGGCTGCCCCCCAAACCTCCCGTCTAAATTAGTCCAATCGTCGGCCCATGAGCTGCCATCGTGTACTTTTGACCACATGGCTTTCTCTCCGCCCACGGCGAAAACGTGAAGTTCATCGTTGAAGCTCACCGCACTCAGGATCTGATTACAAGTGGATTCCCGGCAGACGCTGACCGCACCGTCTCCCGACGAGTTGGCCGCGGATTTCTTTCTGATTCGCGCAAGAGCATCGTGTCAGTCAATTATTCTTGAAGGATAAATGGCGATAGAAGTATGGGTCCCATACTGTGAGCTTGTTCCCAATCCAACCGCCAGTCCCGTGACCATGGCAATCACTCCGAGTATGGCTACGAAGGCGGTAAGCCATATTCTTTTCCGTTTCCACCAAGCTATCGTTCTCCTTCCCGGTATTCTACCCTCCTTCCCGTGCGAATACTCTGATGATGCGGGTCCTGAGCGTCCGGGTGCCGTCGCCAAAGGGTATTCTTCCTCGTGCAGATTACTCCCCGGCGATGGCTGCCTACTTTCGTATTGACTGTAAGGGTATGCGCTCGAAGTCGTCGAGCGGGGGCGACTCTGAGGCGCCACCGAGCCAAATCCCGAGTGTGTTTCTGAAAGATCATTCGGTCGTGATGGGTCAGTTCCTCGAAAACTCTCAGATGGAGGAGGCGACCATGTGGTTGCTTCCGTGAGCGCAGGCACCGGTGCTGGACAACTCTGGAAAACTTGACTGTCTGCTCCATAAAAGCCATGAAGTTCCTGGTAGGGGTCGAAGGGTTCCCGAACCAGCGCAGCCTTGGCCGTATCGCGGTCTACTTCCTTACTCGTATCGAGCTGGCCGGTTTGATTTGCTTTTCTCGCATCCCCGTAATACCCATGGAGTAACTGATACGAATCGAGGAGCTTGCTGGTATCGCGATCTACTTCTTTGCCCGTGTCCGAGTGGCCGGGACGACTCGTGTCGGCGAAACTGACCCCGGCGTACTTCACACCTTGCGGCTCGGTGTCAGAGTAATGGTAGGGAGCGGCATAGTGATCCATCGTTGGCCCTATGGCCACAATTTGGGGGTCGTCTCAGAGCTTGGTTTCGGTCGAAGAAAATCCATACGATGGCAATGAGCTGAGGCTAGGAAGTCATAGCCACGATTCCAGCAAAAACAAGAGGGAGCGCATAGTCGGCGCACGAGCGTCTACGAATCGTCATGTGAGTACGGTAGTTGAAAGTTGAAGAGAGAGCTGGAGGTCAATGAGATCTACTGTAGTTTCGGAGGTCTATCAAGTCAGAAGGATTGGCGGCGCGCCCCCAGTCCTCGGTTCGCTTTGGCCCTGATATACCCCCACAGGGGCCCTGGGAAAGTAAACCATCCAATCAAGCTTCTTGGCTTCCTTCTTCAGCCCAGTCAGCGTGGGAGGACAAGCAGGGGCTGGATGAAAATAGACGAGCAGTGGAGCATTTGTATTACCTCGTGCCTGTCCGCAAGTTCCACTTCTGAGTTGGTATGTCTGCCTGTCGGTTCGACAATCGGTCGTCCAGTACGTCACTCCTTATACCTACCTAAATACTTATCTAGGTAGGTAATCTCAGGTCGGGATGAACCACGACGATGTCAAAATTCGATGTCGAATTTCGAGTTCCCGGCAGCGCGGAGGTGGCTTGTACTTTGTAGTTCATGCAATGAAGCAGCCTGATACCTAAATTCCCAGGTTGGTGTGTAGGGCTGAGCAGCGCCGCCTCATTACCCGTAGTGGGCCGTACTCCCTGGAGGCCCGGGTATTTTGTAGACGACAACTTGACGAGCAACTCGACCTCAATCCCTGTCTGGAGGCCTTATTCCGTTTTTGTGTATGGTATCAACCTGGCGATTTATTATCCGATACTCCTCAGTCATAATGATTATATACATGTATGCAAGTGAGTACCGATTTCCTTTTGCCAAGTAGGTACATAAGTAGGTGCTTTAGGTAAGGTTAGAGGTGTAGTAAGGCGATGTAGATGTAGTCTACATTGAAGCGTCTGGCTGCTGCGAACTGCAGGCTGAGTTGCAGTGACCTCGAATATTCTAAAAATAACTACCTACCTAGGTACCTACATAGGTAGGTACTGCTTAATTCCATGTGGCAAGTGTGTCTCAGCTCGGATGAGCAGCAGCTAGTGCATTAATAAACTTTGCCGTTGGTTATTGATGGCAGGTTGAAAGCTGGAGACTTCAAAGGTTATATTAAGCCCCTGGCTTTCTGGAGCCGCCCTGGTACCGCATCACTAACTCACTACATGTAACTAAACCGAACTCGCAATTAGCTGTAGGTCCTTCGTATTTTAGCACACCCATTCACCATTCATCCCAATTCCTCTGACACACAATTTTGGAGCCACAGGCCGCGCTTGCAGCTCCTTACAGGCCAGCGCATCAATATATAGCAACTTAACAAGCGAATGAAGCATACCCGGGTAGCTCAATTGGCTAGAGCGTGGGACTTTTAAAGATCATTGCCAACAAATTGCCTTGATCCTTTGAGACATCCCAAGGCTGGGGGTTCGAGCCCCCCCTCGGGTGTCCTTTCCTTTTGGCAAATTCTCATAATTTCACCATGTTGAGTACCTACTTTATCGTCGCACCTTCACTCACATCTTCCATGATTAAATATTTTTGAGTTTTCGACTCCCGTTCAGCTTCTCTCTTCTCCCCTCCCGTAGCACCGCCTCCTTCTTCTTCTTCTTCTTCTTCTTCTTCTTCTTCTTCTTCTTCTAACGCGACAAGGTGGAAATATGATAAGCGTGCATTCTATGTAATTTCATCATGTTCCTTCTCATGTTTAGGTAGTCATCAGTCAAGAGGTTATGTATACCAGGATGGGAATACCACTCCATAAATATCCTTATGCTAGCAGGAAGCACTGCACGACAAAGAGGTCGAATGCTCTCCAGGGCTGCTGGTCTTGTCGCCAACAATGGTGGCATACTACAGCGCGAGGACAACACACATCATTCTACCTCCCAGTCGATCATGGCATGGGGCCTGAAAGTTTGGACCGCCGACTTGACGGCATCACGGGAATTTGCGTAATTCACCTCCTGCTGCGCGCCCTACTCCTGGACGGACTCACGATTGCGCCTACAGTAGGAGGTCAGGAGCATCCATCCGCGTGGTTCAGCCAATTAGACGCTGTAGAAACTGGTTGCTGAGCTGCCACCGCGTATAGCAGTCCTTTGGTCTACAGACTTGGGGTCTCAGGAAAGGCGCGCATGTCTCGATGGACGTAGGGGCATTCAACCACACTAGGGGCAGACTAGCGACTTGCGTCCTGGATACGTACACCGGCTTGGTGAGGATGACGCTTCTCCTGATATCGAGATGAGCCACCTCGGCCAGTGAGCCGCTACCATCGAAACCGATGCTCGCCTCCAATCACCCACACCAACGCGAGTGCCTAGGTAGCTAGTAGACACGCAACCGTCTATGGGATGAATACGTCGTATATGACACAATCCTTGGTGTCTCTCGAAGTTCGGATCCCCGCCTGTGTCCTTTCAGTCGATGACTTCCCAGTTTGATGCCACGAGCCTGGAGTTACCGGATCAGCGACACCAGTCTGTATGCTCGGTTTGTCCGCGAGTACACATGGCGTGAGGAAGGCAGTCTGAGTGCGGATATGTTACGCTACCTTGACATCATACCGAACTTGAACAAAGTCGTGTTACGGCTTGATCCTAGCTCTCAGCTTATCCGAATACTCATTCTCACCACGTGTCATTTCTATAACAGGGCCATACTACAGCCTGAAGGAAAGTCGTACAGCAGGTGCTGTATGCTACCGCTAGTAATGCTGTACAATATAATCCGACGGTGTAAAATGAAGTGGCTTACCGGTGGGTATATTCCGCCTGTTTGCACAAACAGTGTGGACTCGGACCTGCAATCGTCAGGGAGACCTGGGTGGACAGACCAACCAAAACATCGAGCAGAAATAACTCGAGGGACAGAGAGTCTAATTCGTCTAGTAAGCCCCTATTCATGTCCAGGAACGCTCCATGAGTACATAGGTATTCGACTGTGCTGAGCCTTCCCTGCTCGACATATCAACATAACAATACCGAGCTACACCCTGGGCGTTGTCGCCATATTCCTATCTAGGGACACCCGGAAGCTTAAAATGATGCTGCTACGGTTTTTACAAATGACCACTTCGGTCCAGACCTTGTTGGTCTCACCTTCGATGTCAACCTTACCGCCACTCCATCGGAAGAAGGGTGTCCCAGAGGATCCTTCAGGGGTAACTGTGATGGTATCACCAAATAACATGACAGTTCGGTACAAAAGCCCAGGCGAAGAAGGTCTATGTGAGACTACTCCAGGTGTCAGCTCCTATTCGGGTTTTGTTGATGTAGATGAACATACGCATATGTTTTTCTGGTTTTTAGAAGCTAGAAATGATCCCGATTCGGTACGTCTAAAATCATGCTCGCTTCGAGTCCTTGATTTCCCAAACCTCGTCATTCGTGTGGCCTCTGTGACAAAAAAAGGGGGGATTCACACCTACTAATTTCCATTGCATAAACCTATCACGCTGTGGTTGAACGGGGGCCCCGGCTCCGATTCTTTAATTGGCTTATTCTACGGTATGTATGCTTTCAAGCAGCTGTATGAGATACGATATTGATATACAACGCTAGAGCTGGGCCCATGCTCGTTCATCGAGTCGAGCAAGACCACCCAACTCAACAATTACTCATGGACGGAAGAGAGCAACATGCTGTTCCTCTCGCAACCCATCGGCGTGGGCTTCTCCTACGAAGAAGAGGTGGTTGGTATCATGGGCGCTGGCGGTCCCGAACCCTCTGATCACCCCGACGGTCGGTACGGCTGGACTAATGCCTCTCACTTTGACACAACGGAGCTCGCGGCGATCTCGGCCTGGGAGGTAGTTCAAGCGTTCATTCGTGACCTTCCGACCATGGACGAAACTGTACAATCCCGAACTTTCAACCTCTTCACGGAAAGCTACGGCGGGCACTATGGACCGGCCTTCTTCTCGTATTTCGATGACCAGAATAAAGGAATACGTAACGGCACCCTGCCAGGTGTTGAGCTGAACATGGGATCCCTAGGGATCATCAACGGCTTGGTGTCTGCTCAACTGCAGATGGGACAGTATCCGGAATACGCTAAACACAACACCTACGGCCTGTCCGTCAGCAACAAAACCTACGAAGATATGAAAGACGCGTGGGAATGGGAAGGTAGGTTTCTATCCCAGTTAAAGAATATGTTACAAGGTCCGTACCACGGGAATCGCTAACATGATGATGCCACCCACAGATGGCTGCAAAGCCGGGATAGCAAAGTGTCAAGTTGCGGACCGATCAACGAAGCACGGCCAAGATTTATGCGCCCAGGCTTCGAATTACTGCCGCGACTGGGTGGAAAGCCCTTTCTACAAATATGCCGGCCGGGACCCCTACGACATCCGACTTCCCAGTGACGCGAGTGATGACTACAGCAGCTTAGCCGAGTTCCTCAACAGCCAGCCAGTCCAAGAGGCACTAGGTGTAAATCTGAATTACACCGGGGTGACAGGCGATGGTGTGTTTAACGGGTTTGACATGACGGGCGACTGGAGTTTCCCTGAGATGTTATCTGAGCTCGAAGGCCTGCTGAGTGAAGGTATGAGCGTGCATCTGATTTACGGTGATGCAGTAAGTTCGATATTACCCCTGATTAATCTATACCGCATACAATTTTGAATTACATCTGGAATGTATGCATACTGAACCTGGCTGTTCTCTAGGATTATATTTGCAACTGGTTCGGCGGCGAAGCCGTCTCTCTCAACGTGAACTACACACACTCCACACAATTCCGAATCGCGGGATATGCCCCTTTCCTGGTCGGCGGTGTGGAGTACGGCTCCACGAGACAATACGGAAACTTCTCGTTTACGCGCATCTACGACTCCGGACACATGGTGCCGTCCTATCAGCCTGCTGCCTCGCTGGAATTGTTCCGTCGAATCATCAATGGGCTCGTCGTCGCGGACGGGAGTGAGACGGTGTTGCCCGACTACGACACCGAGGGTACCCAGTTCGAGAACATACAAACGCGCAGATGACTGATTTCAGCGATTACAATCGTCCTACTGACACGGCCATGCCATGGAGACATACCTCGGTTCAGAATATGGGATGAGGTTAGTTGGACACGAGGTGCTTGAGGATGCGTCTTGAGGATGACTGCTGCCCTCCTGTAAGCTTTACTGTTAGCACAAAGCGAGGTGAATGATATATCAATTTTGCTCCAGAGGTGTCGATTTTCTATAGAATCAAGCGTATGGTCTTGACTTTCGAGGTCACCTCGAATGTGATGCGGCCCTTCCATAATGTTCGCGGAACAGTGATTGTGTAAGCACTCCACATGTGTTTTAGAGCTTTACACTCTGGGATAACGGGGACCCGACATCAGCGTGGTTCAAGTATAGCTAGGTAGGCGGGCCGAATAGGAGTGCCTCGAGGATGGCTTCGTGTTGGTGGTATCGCTCCCAGAAAGTGGCACTCAGTACTGCCGGAAACGCATGTATTGACGACGCGGCCGAGTATGCTTCAGCCCCTGAGGTTGGTATCGGACTGGTGACAGGACAGTGTGACTGGAAATGGAAAAAGTACAGAGATTGAGGAAAGATACTGGTTGGTGTCGAGAATTATCACAGCCTGGAGGCTCAGCAACCCCCAAGCTCTGTTTCTCGACAAGGATGGAACGATACGCGTTAGGTGGCGTCGGCAGACAATGAGTACTCGACTTGAGAATATGTGCTTCGGTCCCTTGAGACGCGCAAGCCGAGGTGTCAGTTATGACCGTGCTGTGGAAGTATTTCGGCGTGATGGCAGGAGCATGTTGCGGGAAAGCGAGGCAAGATTGGAACTTTATCAAGACACCTACAAAATGCGTCAGCGAGATTGTAAGGGCACAGGAGCCCGTTTAGCGCTTCTGGCGTGGTCCACTCGTTGATAGACTCGAAGCCCGTGCACCAGCTGTCGTGATGTCGTTGAAGATCGTGGGGGAAGCCAATGACAAATCGGCGTCAACTGATGCCCAGCGAAGGCAGAATGCGGATAATCGGACGAGGTAGTTGAATACGGGAAGGATACCAGAGACGATGTGATCAATGTCGGTTTTGCTTACCTACCTAGGGACAGGTTATCAATAATGATGAGGAGAGGGGAGGGGTTGGTAGGTTTGGCTGTTTGTATCTCGCAAATGCGGTGGTATTGTGCTGTAGATGGGCTTCAAATGCTTCGGCAGATGATAATCGGCTTGGCTTGAAACCAGCGATCCGGGCAGCCGGGGACCACTAGCAGTCTGTCAAAGCCATCAGAAATTTGAAGCCTTCAGAATGTGCAGAAATGTCAGCACACGTGGCTGCCATAGAGCCCATGTCACCAAGATGGTCGTGCTACCAAGACAGTCGTTGGATTCGTCGCTGCGCAGCAAGGCCACAGTTGGAGTGCCTACGACAAGTGGTCTTGGAGGCACTCAAATAATCTGAAAATGAAATGATCCTT